TTACATTTCATAGTCTTGTTGCTCTTGCGGTGGTTTCGTTGAGATATTGCAAAACTAGTATGGTATGACATGACAACATTGCGAACATAAATGACAGACACTAAACTAACATAGAAATCATGACATGCGTATCATGTAAAACACGACTACATGCTACGCTCATAGTGCGCTCGCGGCTGTTTCACACATATACGAAATTTGGTCTTACGTGATGGTAATTGATGACGAAGGTATATGACTACAGTGCAAACATAATTATGACATGCATGTCATGTAACATGCATCGACAACATACCATGCTCATGATGCGCTCGCGACCATTTCGCTAGCTTCACGTACACCAAATATGGTATTGCGTGACGTGAATGGACGATGAAGGTAACTGACACGTCCAAACATGATCATCATGGCATGCGTGCCATATAAAACATCACTACATGCTACACTCATAGCGCGCTCGCGGCAGTTTCGCTAGCTCCGCATATATCAAATTTGGTATTACGTGATGTGAATAGACGACGAACACAAATGCCAGGCGCAAACATTATAATTATGGCATGGAAGTGATGCACGGCCTAATTTACACCCTCCTCGTAACGTAGTGCTGATAATAAAGGGAAATATTAACTTTCTTCATTCGGGCTTCGCATATATAATCGATTCCACTCTACGTGGGATCTGCCCATTTTCTTAAATATTATATGCTGTTGACTGAGTATATGTTGTGGAAAAAGGTTGGCCAAAAAAGTGAGAGTTCTTTTACAGCTTGCCACCCAAACTGCAACCCCGGGCAGTTCGTCAATGCGACGTCACTTATTTATGTACATTTTTTCGGGGTCGTGACACTGACAAAGGCAGCAGTCGACGTGCACAAGATGAAACTTTTTATTTGGCCGAACTTGTGAGGGGAAACAAAAAGCAACGCACACTGTGCACTGATAGCGCTGATAGCGGCGGACACTGTGTCAGCCGTCGATAAAACTGACAAGCGGGGCAAGCGTGTCGACTTTTATACATGTTTTATCGAAGATTCCAGCGTTATCGCCAGCTGTCGTATAATTTTCAAAACTAACTCTAATGTTCGTGTTGAGCACGTAACCTCATCAGAAGGTTCTAATATTATCTAGAATAGCTCCCAGTCATTAGAGTACGCTTTGCACAAGGCTGCAGTTACATTGTAATGGAGTGGTAAATGAAAAAAAAATAGAAATAAAGGAGCCCATGTGGCAATATGCTAAAGCACATTTTGACTAATTATGCGCACATAACGTTATCGTAACTCATAACTCGAGTCAACTGCTATTTCTAGGGAATCCAAGCTCAAGTTTGGATGCTACGGTTGTGCGGCCGATCTATAAGCTTTACTGGGGGTTAGATGGACGCCGCCAGTGTAGGCGCCGGATGGGGCAGCGGTGGCGACAAGGACACTTGCGCACATGTGCACCCCATTAGGCCCGAAGGCCTGCTGGTGAGCAATAGTTACATTGTGACGCAGCCCAGATGCAATCCGACAGCTCTGCGCGTGCATGGTAGTGGGAGTGGCACTGTTTTGGCAAAAGAAGCATCGTGGATATTGGCCTCGAGAACATACCGTGGCGCTACCCGCGTGATGATGTCACCCATAGGATAACGTGTTGTATTGTTTGCTAGACACTCCACGTTTTCTGCGCTTTTGCTGTGAACACCATGCGTGCTTCCCTTTGTTTTGAAGCTCAGTGCTTAAAGAAGTGGTAAGATCTGATAATACGGGCAAGCAAACTACGAATCGGTGCCCCCGGTGGCACGATCGTGTCTAATTTGCATCGTAAAATCGCTACTAAGAACCGGTGCAGCCATGGAAGACGATGGTGTCGCGAAAGCAAACCTGCCATATTCCACAGCTACTAGCCTATCTGTGACGTCAAAACGATCGCAGCGCTGGCCTCTCCAGTGGAGGCCCTCACGGCCAATATGCCCAGTTTCGATAAGAGCAGATGGCATTGTTCGACTTTGCTTTGGAAGCCTGTAGTAATCAAGCCTTTTTTCTATTGGTGTTCTATTAACCACTTTGAAACATATATCGGCTGGAAAAACCTGTCGCTACTCTGGAAATGATGACGCCGCATGACAGGTTGCTCGTGACAACAACCCTTATAAAAGTCTACGCCCCAAAACCACGATATGACTATGAGATACACAAGTGGCTGCTCGTGTGGCATATGTAAAATAATAATAATAATAATAATAATAATAATAATAATAATAATAATAATAATAATAATAATAATAATAATAATAATATCCCGGGTTTTACGTGCCAGAACACGATTTCATTACGAGGCATATGCCGTAGTGGAGGGCTCCGGAAATTTTCGCTATCTCTTTAACGTGTTCTGACATTGCCCAGTATATACGGACCTACAGAATTTTGTCTACATCGGAAATGTGGCCGCAGCGGCCAGGTTCAAACCCACACCTTTCGAATTAGCAGCCAAGAATCGCAACCACTGTACCACCGAAGCGAACTCGTGAAAGGGCTCGCTCACAGATTTTATCTTCGTTTCTTTACTGCTTTGAAAAGCTGGCCTTTTCAATGCTTCAATATCCTTAAGCTCATCTATTAAAACGAATGTGATCTGAAGCACATATAGACTGCGAAATATGCTTGCCTTACGGTTGCGATAGTATAACTCATAATTACCGCTCGTCTTTTTTTTTTAATCATAAGACTATACAGCATCATCCAAGGTAACTAGTTCAAAAATGGTCGTGAGGGCCAGCGCGAACAACAAAATACGGACAGAGATAAAAACAATGACACAAGAACACAAGCGCTGTCACGTTAGTCTATACGTGAGCTTTTTTTTCTGTTGGGTATCTTTGGACCGTGTGCTGTTTTCTTAATCTTTTTCCTACCCATATATTTTTTCATTAAAATTTTAGTTGATAGCGCTTGTGTCGTCGTCTTCTCTGTCCGCGTTTCGCTTTCGCTGGCCGTCATGGCGGCATCCTCAAAACATCAGAAATCAGTGTTCAATTATTATCGTGCTGTGAAATTCACGCTACATATATTGCCCAGAAAAAACGTGGGAAACTTTCTTTAGTGGTTGAAGATTATTGCCTTTTTGAGCTATACCTTCAGCCCCTTGACACCACAAAAAAAAATCTAGCATAACAGTCCACTACTGCATACGTTGGAAGGAGTGGAACTATTAGACCATATGCAAATTTGTTGGTTGGAACTCTCAACCCATCAAATAGAAGGTGAAACATCTGCAATACGTTTCAGCTAACTCTGCCTCGTTGGCACAAGCTTGACTCAAGCTGGCTAATGCACATTGGCAGAGTTCCGCAATATTCACATGTAATAAGAATGTGTAGCCAATGAAATTTTTCACTATAAGAGACATCTCCACGCCCGATTTTTCAGGACTGTGACGTCAACCGTGGTGGCACGGAGCGCCGGGAATCAGCTCAAGCTGGCGCCATGACACCCTCGTCACCGATACAAAATTTTGCAGTACTTTAGAGAACTGATCACCGCGTTCACTGCAAAACAAGATGAAGCGGAGTATATTGCCTCTTCTCACCGCGAGGTGACATGCGGTCCCAACCTGAAACTATGGCTCCGAAGAAGCTTTTCGAAGGACGCTTCCTGTAACAGCGCACTTTGAAACCGTTTGCACGCTTTCCTACCAGCGTTGCGCCTCTAGACGCACGCCGTTTGTATTCTGTTTCTATATGTGGGGTTCAACGTCCCAAAACCACCATATGATTATGAGAGACGCCGTAGTGGAGGGCTCCGGAAATTTAGACCACCTGGAGTTCTTTAACGTGCACCCAAATCTGAGCACACGGGCCTACAGCATCTTCGCCTCCATCGAAAATGCAGTCGCCGCAGCCAGGATTCGATCCCACGACCTGCGGGTCAGCAGCCGAGTACCTTAGCCACTAGACCACCGCGGCGGTGCCGCCTATAGCATTTTTGTGGCTTTGCAGTTATGCGAGAGAGAACCCATAATGCAGTGTTTCACAACAAAAAATTATATCAAGTATTTTTTTTTACTTGTGTACAGATCCATGGTAAGAATCTAGCTCCTAAAGGTAACCTTCGCTCGCGTTCGAGGCCAACATGGCACAAAGTGAAAGTTATGCGAGCTTTTTGGGACCCAACATCGACCCTCGCGTTACAATCGAATAGCCAAATAAGTGCTTTTTTTTTCTGGGCGCAATGAAAAGTCACCCCTCGCGTTACAATTGTGGTCGTGTTAAAATTGAGTAAATACGGTAGTCGAATAACTTAGTCCTGAATTGTCGCGTTCCAATCCGAGAACTCTGCAAATACAGGCGTTCCCGAGGGGATCTCGCTGACTCATCGTGACACAACGTTCGCTAAATTGCCGTTCAACTGCATGAATAAAGGGAATTAAGCCTTAGCAAGGTAAGCTGCCTCGGTTTCCTTTTGTCCAACTGGCGCGCACCCAAACTGCTTCAGATTATCACAAGTGAACTCCAGAATGGCTATAGTCACTCATTAGGAACACTTACTATTTAGCACTATCAACACACAGTGGCACTGCAGGAACGTTGTTAAGTGGACGAATGGTCAACTATATACGCGTAGTCTGCACTATACGTAAGCTGACGTTGGCACAACGGTAAACGGTCGGTCATCTTTTGTACTGCAGCACCAGCAGTCCTATCTAATTCAGCGCACACGCAAATTTCCCAAGTTCACATCGTGACGATTTTCTTTCAAAGTGATCGGGACGTTCACCTTTTCGCAGAACGCACTCGACACGCCGATTTTGATACGTTGGCAATGCCGCACTAACTCAGCAACGAACGAGACATATTTAATAATAGTTTTTCTTACGTCAGACGAAACATGGTAAAGGCTCACGGCTCAGTTTCCAAACGGCAACAAGTAGGCACACCGACCCGCCGATGGCGGTCCACCCAGGCGGGCGAGAGAGCAACAACACGGATAGCGCCGCCAGCATGGGGCCAGTTTACTGAGCTCAGCGCGCCACCAAGGAGTTTGAGGTGAACAGAGCGGGGATGATGACAGGGATGGCCCCGTCGAGGCTGCGGGTCGCGGCTAGCGGCTGCAGGCCTGCCACACTCACGATAGGCGTCATAGTGGCGTTGACCACGGTGGCCCGTGGCAGCACGACTGCCGCTGCCGCAGCGACGCGCCTAACTTCGGCGTCCACGGCAAAGTATCCGGCCACACCAACGGTTAGCGCGCACAGCAGAATGTACAGCTTCACGTCGGTACACACGACACTGCTGTAGCTCAACGAAGCGATGGTGCCGACGGAGCGCCACAGGTGGCAGCTGGCGAAGGCGGCCTCCGGGTTCTGCCTGAACGCCACGGCGTAGAATGCTGCGCCAAAGAAAGTGTTCGCAAGCGCAGCAGAAAACACACGCATTCGCAGCTGCGCGACGATTTCGGGTTTTACTGCTTACGTTACAGAGCGTGCAATCTCTGGGCACATCCATCGGCCGTTGCGCGCTCACAAACTGCTTGTCAAGACAAACCTCAGATATACATTTACGTGTCAAACGTCAAATACGTCGGAGCTTTACAAAGCTTGGCTTCCGCAAAAACTGAAGGGCTGTGATCTTCCCCTTCATACACAACGTGAAAAGTGTATACCGCATCATCGTTACGGAGGGACGCGAAACACGGAGGAGGCAGCATCACTTACAGATGAGGTGCGTGGTCCAGGCGGCATCGGCGATGCCCCAGACTCCAGAGGCCACCAACAAGACCACAAGAATATAACCAGTCTCGTAGCTGAGCATGAGGATGATCATGGCCACGTTTACCACCGCACCAAGCAGCACCATCTGCGGCCGGCCGGTAATGTGCACGAGCCAGCCGAAGCTGAGCGAAAACAGAGCTCCAGACGCGCCAAGGCTCACCAAGAACAATCCCACGTAGTTCACGCCCCACGTGCATGTGATGAACGCCTGCAGAACAATGTACAAATTACTTGGCACGTGAACGACCACCAAAAGATTGAGCGCGTCATCGGTTCTGTAGGCCGCACTAGAACATTCGAGCTTGACACACGTAGGGCGACGAAATATAACCGACAAGCACAATTTTCTGAGGTACCAAGAGAGGCCCAGTTACACCATCTTACACTCACTGTATTGCAGTATAAGCCGGTTTCTTTTACGCGAAAGATTTCAATCCCGATTTCCCGTGGGCGCGCATGCCCCATAGTCAATATAGTCGATAATGTCGCTTCAGTCACAATACAGTTATTGCAGCGAATCAATCAGTCTGACACACAGCTGGAAAAGCTACTTTCTAGTTCAGGATGCACATTTCTTTTGCCCTTTGTTTTGACGACGTGACAGCTGATCATACATAGCTGTTTGCAATGCCACTTCTGTATGTATTACTCCTTACGCAATGTCACTCGGAGCCTGAAATACGTTCCTCACTGCATGTTGAAGAATATTGACGGAATTTCGCAAGTAGTACACAGTTATTACATGTGTAAATGCTGAATCATGTACTTTATAAAATATAACCACGTTGAATTATATCATGGGGAACATCAATGACGGTGAAAGTTTGCATGAGGAAGGAAGGGGAGAAAAAGAATGCACTAATTTCTCGTAGTAGCCCAGTGTTACCCCTTAGTCACATAACAATCCAAGCACAAATACCTGCTCTATACTCACTTACAAATATATATATATATATATATATATATATATATATATATATATATATATATATATATATATATATATATATATATATATATATATATATATATATATATATATATATATATATATATACATATATATATATATACATATATATATATTTAAGAAATATTGCTCTTCTAACATGCGCTTCAGTTTTGCCGATACTAAAAAGTTGTAATATAGTGCACTGTGTTTTTGTTGATGTAGGCATTTCCTTTTTACCACATATGCTCATGACATGGACTACGCCCCTTTCCATCCTCTCTGATAATCTGTAGTGCTAGGGGGCAGCTAAATGGCATGCCTCCAACTGTATCCTCAAGCATCATTGGCGCCATCAACATTCCATGACAAGCGCGCTAAGCGACACAGGGCAAGTGCGCTACTCGGCGTTCCGTGATTCGCGACCGCTCAGCGCAGTCGGGAGGATGAATCACGGACCTTCGTGAAGTCATCCGCAATGAACGAGATCTCCAATCCACTGAAAATGGTCAACGGGATGATGAACATCTGGTACGGGTTCTTCATGTGCCTCACAGTGAGCATGAGCAGCTGCAGTGATGCCTTGTCGTGACGCTGCATTTTGCGCTCAAGCGGATCGAGCAGCAGGAAAACGACCAGAGCTGCGATCCAACCGAATGCTGTATACACCACGCACAGCTGGAAGCGGCTCGTCGCTGTCGGTGCGGTCATGTTGGTCGGAAGCGGTGATTGAGGACAGAAGTTAACTCCACAAGTGGAACGCTTGTCGCTGCTCGCCTCCTGGTTGACCACAGTGCTTTCCCCAGTGGTATTACCTGCCTGAATGATCACGTACGACAGGAGATTTCCAAACACTTGGGACAACTGGCTGAACATAAGGAAGACACCAAAGAAGTGGCCAAAAGCCGCGTCGGAATTCTGGTGGTTCAGTCCGGCGTACTGGGTTGCCAGCTCGGCCACGTACGCATAGTTGGCCGTGCACAAAGGCCCTGCTCCGAAACCGAGTACGAAGGATGTAGGCAACACGGTCACCCACTGTGGATAGAAGTTGGCGATGAAGTACGGCGTGTAGAGCAGAGTGCAAGCGCCAATGGTAACCTTGAGACCCGCCACACTGATGAAGAAGGGCGCCAGGAACATGCACGATAGCACGAACGAGGACGAAATGGCACTTAACGACACGGTACCGAGGCCGCTCTCGATGTTCAGCATGCTTGCCTGCAGGTGGCTCAGTGACAGGAAGGCAGAGTTGACGAGGAACGAACTGGCGCTCACCACGAGCAGGTTTCTGCGCAGCCGCTGTTTGCGCAGCCGCGGGTCCCAGCAGGGTCCTTCCGCTTCGGCCGTGGAGAGAACGGCCACGCTGTCCCTCGGCTCCTGGCGACCCTGGCCCGGGCTGCTCGTTTGCATGCCGTCACCCCGTGCCTCTACGACGCATCGCCGCCGGACGACGTGGCACGCGCTCCGCATCTGTGAGGATAAATCTTGAGGAATTGTCTGTGCTCGACGCTTCGCGGCAGCATGGCGCTCTCACGACTCGCTGCTGCAGACCAGGAGGCGCCCAGTGAAACTAGAAGGCCATCACCTGCGCGAGCTTCTCCTCGCCGCCGTTTGCTGACCCTCAACTTCTCCCAGAGCCCACCATGATGTTGCGGTGGGCTGCGCTGCGCACTCTATGTAAAAATTCCAAGCGAAAGAGAAACCCCATGCATGATGCTGATGCTGATGCTGATGACCTCTGATGGATGGTGCTTACCCACAAAGGGGGATGGGCCAAGAACCGGGCGGCAGGATACTTAAATGAAACTAAATTGAAAATGAAGCCAATCTGAAAAAGTAGCTTAAAATAATACTACCAAAAAGCAAAAATGTTTGCTGAGCAAGCGGTCAAACCATCTTTTGTTTTTGAAAGACATAACTACGAATTATAAACTAAAGATCTGAAAAGGTAGGGGTTCACTAGCATGGTAATCTTTTAGTTGCGTTGATGTAATCAAACACAGCGGAGCATACATGCCTGTGGCAGTAACCAAATGAAGTTCCGCCAAGTGATAAAATTACTGGTAGATTTACTTGTATTCCTAGCTTTTGTAATGGGGCTACTAAAAATCTTTTTCTCTGATAAGAGTAACGATGACAGAATAAAAAGAAATGTTCAATTGTTTCCATTTCGTTGCACCAAATGCATAGCGGTGACGCCTTGAGCCGAGCTTTATTAAGGTAATAATTTAGTTGTGGAACTGCACAGCGCAATCTGGTATAAGTGACCTCTAACTGGCGAGATACACACCACTGTTTATTCCAGCAATAGCTCAAATGCTCGAAATCTTTGAATTTATTCCAATTACCTTTTCCCCATTGAAGGCAAGCATTTCGGAACCTTAGCGCGGTTACGTAAGCCGTATCTGGCAAAACTGGGATGGTGGGCCCACCCAGGGACACTGCTGCTAAAGAGTCCGCCATTTCGTTCAAATATAATCCGCGGTGGCTTGGTACCCATAGCAAGTGCAGTTTTTTTACGTTTTTCGGTACTAAATGCCGAAACGTATTCATCAGCTCTGCATTTACTGCCGCAGAAAGTGCATTACAAACTGATAACGAATCTGTAATGATAACTGCTAATGATTCGCTTGAGGGTAATTTGCGTAGGGCAAGAACAATGGCCAATAATTCAGCAATAAATACCGGGGTATAATCTGGGAGTCGAATCGAAAAGGACCAGTCCAAAGAAGGAGAGAAGATGCCAACCCCAGCCTTTTCTTTTGACACAGATGCATCAGTCGCTATGATATTGCTTATCTCTGGGTGGGCTAGATAATCTGCTAACTGGTCATTTAAATACCTATATGCCAATTGTTTCGCGTTATGAGGAAATATATCATCGAATTGTATGCTAAGCATTGACTTTAGGTTGTGTATTGGACCAATATGTCTAATTTTTACATTCAGTTGCTTTAGTAGCGCTTGTGCAAATACTATTTGCGGGGTGTGTAGTCGTGACCAATGGGGTTCGAAAAATAAAGTCGGTTCTTGAATGAAAGCGTAAAATGAGAGTTTTTGGTGTGAACTGTATATCTTTAAGAATGCTTGCACAGTAAGAATTTTAAACCTATTTAGCAGAGAAGGTAGGCGAGCTTCCATATACAACACGTTATTTGCAACAAACTTTGGTAGACCCAGACACAAACGCAACGCTTCTCTTTCCAGCAGTATTAGGGGTCTAATCCTCTATGCATGATGAACGCGCGCACTGGGTTAAGCTTGGGCATCTTCCTCTTCATCCACATGTTCGATTGAGTTAACTGCTTTGTCTCTTCATGTGCGCTGCAAGAAGCGCAGGCCATGCACCACCTCAGCCTCAATTGTTTCTTAAAAATGTTTTCTTTCTCTTTTACCGTTACTTAGTACACCCGTGCTGGCTGCTGTCTTGCACGCTGGATCAAGTATTGTCAAGGTTACACAGCTTAACACCCTGCATGATGGTTCTCAGCCAGGCCGCGGATCGACCAGTCGATCACCATACGTGGTTATTGACTGGTCTACTCGGTTGAACACAATATTAAATTTTAAGCAAAGCTTTATTTGAGTCTCCCGCCCAATTTGACCCTTTTAGATAGAGTATATCACAACAGGGCTGGTCCTCAATGGAAATAATAATTGATTGGGGCAAGTTTTTGCTCGACTGCTTTGCTGGCAGGTATACGCACCCTAAAAGCGTACACGCAGTATAGGCATTTGTGTGCCTTGCTTGCGCTGTGGCAACACATCCTGGTGTCCCCTTATAGAACTATTTCCATTGTTTGTTTTTTTCTCTTTTTCTGGTTATCCGCCCTTGGTTGACCGCGTCGCCGCACCACCGTCATTGCTCGGTTATCACTTTTGGAACGACTGACAAAAAAAAATGTAAAACAAGGTGGAATGCTTGAAGATACGAATAATAGCCTTCAGATTCAAAATAGCTACTAAATAAGTTGTGTACGCGTTATTTATTTATTTATTTATTTATTTATTTATTTATTTATTATTTAATAAAGATATGTTCAGAGCACGAAGGCACAATCGACAGGAGTGGGGAATAAAAATCTATACAGTCAAAAGGAAAGCAAAGAAGAAGAAAAAAGTTTGACAGATCCCACATAGAGTTTCCTAATATACACTAGAGGGAGCTCTGGCGCTAGTGTTTATGGCAGCTGCAACGCAAGGCGCTTCAGCGAGCATGGGAATGATGGGTAGTATACACATTTGTCTAATATTCGTACTTCTGGCCTGCTTTTGGCTCCATGTGTGTTCGTGTGGCTTGGAGCTGTTTTTTTTTACGAAACAAATATTAGCAAATGTTCAGCGGTTGCTCTCTATCATCTTATTCTTTTACACTTACCTTTCCAAATCAGGTCATAAAGTTCAAAAGGGTTGAATCTTTCTTTCAAAACAAAACTGAAACACTGCAATAAACGAAGCCGCAAGCAAGTACGATTCGCCGCCCGCAAGTACGAATACTAGGCAAATGTGTGTGCTACCCATCATTCCTATGGTCGCTGAATGATCGCAGCGCCAGAGTCCCCTCTAGTTAATTTTAGGAAACTCACTGAGATCCCACGTACCTGGAAATCGACGTTATGCGTAGCATGCGGAGGGAAGGTGACCATGTTGCAATTTTTTTGTTGACCGACACGTGATGAAGTGACGCTAAATATATGTACAAATGTTGCAAGTTGAAGAGTTGCAGATGTTTGTATAAAATGTTTGTATGTTGAAAATGTTTGTGTTTTGAAGAGTTGCTGATGCTTATATACCAAGTTTTTTGCACTTGGGCAACGATGCCAACTGAAACATGCGTATTACCAACACCAGAAGCTGATAATGAACCGTTGATGCTCGCGATGATGCTGGCCCTGGACACTGCTACATAAATCAACTTCAGCGCACGGCAACTAACCAGAATTGACATTAACCTGACGTGACGGATGTGTCAAAGGAGTACATGTGTAACGTTTATAAAATTAGGTAGGTAGCACTACAACGACTATTGACGTTTCACAAAAATTAGCGTCTATTTCAAAAGTAGTTCTGAGACCTGGCGTAGCTCTGCGGTAAGATTCTTCATTGCCACGCAGAATGATTGGCTTCAATTTCAGCTGGGATTCTGATATTTATTCTTTGCATTCATCAGGTTGACGCTACCAATTTCGGGTATTTCTTGACACTCACGTGTTAAAATTGCCCATGTGTGCTCTCGTCGTTCCTGGGCAGATACTGCCAATCACAAGTGGCACATACCTGCATAACAGCGGCACATACCCGCCCGTGGGCATGTGCCACTGTCGGGGGAAAGTGTTTGACGACGAACGCGATGGGATTGTGACATTATTCGTCTTGACCAGCGCGTCATATTCGTCGAACCATCTTACCCTCACATGTTATTTTTAGTTCATGCCAAGTTAAGGGGGTGACCATGAGAGCACCCAAACCTAAGCGGCTAGATAGATAGATAGATAAGAATAGATAGATAGATAGATAGATAGATAGATAGATAGATAGATAGATAGATAGATAGATAGATAGAGATAGATAGATAGATAGTAGATAGATATATAGAATAGATAGATAGATAGATAGATAGATAGATAGATAGATAGATAGACAGACAGACAGACAGACAGACAGACAGACAGGACAGACAGACAGACAGATAGATAGATAGATAGATAGATAGATAGATAGATAGATAGATAGATAGATAGATAGATAGATAGATAGATAGATAGATAGATAGATAGATAGAGATGAGATAGAGAGATAGATAGCTAGATAGATAGATAGATAGATAGATAGCGATAGATAGACGAAGACAGACAGAAGACCAGACAGACAGACAGACAGACAGACAGACAGGGACAGACAGACAGACAGACAGACAGACAGATAGAAGAAGATAGATAGATAGATAGATAGATAGATAGATAGATAGATAGATAGAATAGATAGATAGATAGATAGCTAGATAGATAGATAGATAGATAGATAGTGATAGATAGATAGATAGATAGATCGATAGATAGATAGATAGATAGATAGATAGATAGATAGATAGATAGATAGATAGATAGATAGATAGATAGATAGATAGATAGATAGATAGATAGATAGATACGCTCAATGTCGCCGAAGTTCGCTAAGAAATGGTTCGCATTTAAAACGTTTCCGGGCACCTTGTACGGTGAGCTTGAAACCTTTTACGTCCTATATGCAGGTGATGAAGACGGGAAAGAGGCTCGCTCAGTGGATTCCGTGCCGACCAGTTGTGCCCTCGTGATCTTCGACGACAGTGCAGCTCTGGCCGACTGGGGCTGGTCCTATGCCACCTCCTGACGCCGGTCCCCGACGACGACGACAGCGTAGCTCTGGCTGACTGGATTAACCCTATATACGCCAACTCCTGACGCCGGCAAGAGCTCTCGTCGAGTGGTGCC